GTACCAAGTCCCAGGGGTGTCACCATGCTCAGTGATGACAGACTGGTGGTTACATGTGATAATGGATGCAGAGTTTCTTCCCCAGGGAAATATGACCGAACATTTGGTCAGGGTGACATGTCTTACCCCAAGGGTGTTGCAGTGGACAAGAATGGACACATACTTGTCTGTGACGCGAGCAATAAATGTATCTGTATGTATGATGCTGTGCAGTACAATTTTATCAATAAGATCAGTGTTCCTATGTGCAAAGAACCAGAATACATTGCAGTGCTCCCATATCGTGACACCATTGTGGTGAGTGACTGTTATGGACACTGTGTATATGGAGTGACCCCACAGGGTGATGTAGTGTTCCAGTACGGTACACCAGGTAAGAAAGGTTCAGGTGATGGATACCTGGACCAGCCCTGGGGAGTGTGTACAGACAGCGCGGGGCACATTTTCATTGCTGACCATAAGAATAACAGGGTGGTTGTTCTGACCTCAGATGGTCAACTGTTAAGATACGTGGTAGGTCAACAACAGTTTTCTATACCACGGTGTGTGACCATTGATACCAAAGGACAGCTTGTAGTGGGGGATATTGGAGGCAAGGTGAAAACATTTCGCTATTTACTTTAACCACAAGTTAAGTAGTATATGAGGCGTCACCAGGCGACAACTCAAAAAGTGAACTGTTTCAGGTGCACTACGTGAAAATCGTTGATTGAGACCAAAAAGACAAGTTGTTTTATTATGACAGACATATTGAAAGAAAAACAGAGATGGAAAAAACTATATGTAGCATACGAAAATATAGGGGGGTTTGAAATCATTTTTATATGTGGACTTAAATTCCATTCATAAGTTTAACTAATGTATAGACAAGTTACAAGTCTATATTTGAGCCCTGATTTTGGTTCAGATATTTATTGGAACGGATCATGTAATACGATACGCATTGCGATTCTTCCTTTATTACGTCAAATGTACCGGAGGTATTATCTCTTGCACGTTTTCTTCAATTTTACAAATAAATAATTTCGTTTCACAGCTATTTTGTTTCGACATGCTTTTATCTTTAGCGTTCAAAGCAGCGCAACAGAATCGGCATCATATGCCTTAAGTATTTAGATTTTTTAATGATTACTTAGTAGTCTTTCCTTTCGTAAAAAAAAAACAAAACAACTTTAAAGGTAACAAGGACGCGAATCAGGCATACTGCATCACCATGCGTCGTCCCTGCGGGGGTATAGTCATTAAATCTCGGCTCCATTGGGACGTCACATGGGGAGGCGTGTGAGAGGCGGAGAGACTATTAAAAGATTAGGCGGTTTTCCTTTCATGTACGTCCGCCATATTTAGGTCGTGGCTTTGTAGAGCCATGGCTCAACTCGATGTGAATGCGGTCTAAAATTTACATTTAGCAAATGACCGACGTTGCGGTCTCAACCTTTTATTCATACTTCTCATTTTTATTCTGCTGGATGACTAACAGCATTAACCCAATCCCATGCGTTGTTGATGAACTGATTGCATTCATATTCCGGGTATTTTAAAAGCATTAAAACTTACAGCATAAATTAAATTGATTCAAATTTATACAGAATTTAAAAATTCATTCATGAAAGGGAATATCTTTGTGGCATAGGCGCTCGGGTTCGTTTCTAAGAAAGGCATGTTACAGAAGATTAATAATATAGATATTCTATGTGGAAAAGTATTTATTATGAAAACTATTGTACATTCACAAAAGTGCATCTATTCATTCCACACCCTTTTAATTATTAATCTAAAACAATCAGCTGCTCTTTCGATTGCAGCAGAGACGACAGTTCTTTTTTCGCCTCCAGATGGCGCTACAGAATTTGTTTCTTTTGTCAAACATGGGAAAACTTTTCAGATAAAAGCATGCAGTGGAGCATATAAGGCATTCAGTAACCTTCATAATATCGTTCCAACGAGGGGTGGGGTGTGCTGTGTGGATACTAAATATATAGTTTTAAAAGTCCCATTATAACATTTAGAGGATCAATCTTAAGCATTTGATAACAATTTAGTTGTGTGTGTGTTGGAATCAGTCTGTCGATTGAGTACTCATTGCATTTTGATGTTTGAAATCATCTCTATTTGTTACTATCAAAGAATTAGCCAGGAGTTGGAATGTAACTCTGCAGACATGATACGGTTTTCATTCTGTTCTTTTGCACAGGATGAGACATTCACAGCAGGAACAAACACCTTTCAACCCCTCTGACCAGGGCAATTTTTGTACAGTCCTAACTGCAGGTGGTCAGGCTGTATTATTTTAAAATAAATAACAAGTGAGATTCCAAATGTGTACATCTCCTGTATCGCACACAAATGACTATACATGTATATTTGTACCGTTTTATCACATATTAAACTGAAATAAAAACCACATACATACTTACAAGTTTAACATTATAAAACAAACCAACTGCACAGTAAGGATAAATACCCTGGTATAAAGAGTATCTTCATTGACAATCAGAACCGGGGTTAATAAATAAGTCCAGTTCTGCTATCTCTTGTAACAAGTGCCTCCTGGTGCGTCGTACATCTCAGGTGACTCCGGCTATCAGGACGAGTGAGGTGTGTTCTCACATACGCCCTCTTCTGTACAAGTTGCTGCATGTTTTAAGATACACATTAAACGTCATCCCGTTTATACAATTTTTTTCTTGTTAATTCCAGCCACTTTCCATAACATTTTGCCTTGACGATAAATTAAAATTCCAGGTGGTATTACCGTTATACTGATTTTTCACCTTGAGCTTTTTATTTATTTGATATTTACTTTCTTGTCTTTTGTAATATAAAAGTTTTAAGCACATTGTGTGCATTTAAAAGAATCGTTTGAAAATATTTGAAAAATACCAAAACCCGGGTAAATTGGTAGTGGCGGTCGGGAAAGGTAATAACTGCTTAACAATTTACACTTTCCTATCCTAGTATTGAGCAGTTAACAACAAGTCCCTGAACAAAATGTTATCAGAGAGCCTTTATAGAATAACTTCACAGACAATGATCAGCGCCTGGGTTAATAAACTAGCCCAGTTCTACTATCTCCTGTAATTCGTGCCTTGTCACTCCGGCTATCAGGATGAGTGAGGTGTGTTCTCACGTACGTCCAAGTGTGCAGTTAGTGCATGTTTTAAGGCACACACTTAACGCCACCCCCTTTATACAATTTATTTTCTAGTTAATTCCAGCCACTTTCCATAATATTTTACCTTATTAAAATTCCAGGTGGTATTACCGATAATGACTTTTCACCTTGACCTTTTATTTATTTGATATTTACATTTTTGTATTTTGTAATATAAAAGTTTTAAGCCCATTGTGTTTACGGAAGAGAATTGTTTGAAAATATATGAAAAACAACAAAATCCGTGTAAGTTGGTAGTGTCAGGCGAGGAAATTAATAACTGTCTAATAATTAACACTATCCTATCCTATATTGAGCAAAAACCAAAATGTTATCATAGTGCCTTTATAGAATAACTTCACAGACAATCAGCGCCTGGGTTAATAAACTAGCCCAGTTCTGCTATCTCTTGTAACAAGTGCCTCGTGGTGGGGCGTACAGCTCAGGTGACTCTAGCTATCAGGACGAGTGAGGTGTGTTCTCACGTACACCCTAGTCTACAGTTAGTGCACACATTTAACGCTATCCTCTCTATACAATTTGTTTTCGTGTTAATTCCAGCCATTTTCCGTAATATTCCCTAACGAAAAAGTCTTATAGGATCCTATAAGATCCTATAAGAAATTTGGCAAATTTTTTATAGAATCCTATAGGACTTTTTCGTAAGGGATATTGGACCGTATTCCAGATAATTGATCTTGATCACCACCAAAAACTAACCACTTCTAAGTTAACCCATTTCTGACCTACCCTGTAAATTTCATACAAATCGGCCATAACTTTTTGAGTTATGTTGATGACAAACAAACAGACAGACAGATAGACAGTCAGACAGACAAACAAACAGGGATGAAAACATAACCTCCTTGGTGGAGGTAACAAAAAGACAGACAAACAAACAGGGGTGAAAACAACCTCCTTGGCGGAAGTAATACATTTGATCGAGGATAGGCTTTTTTCTCTGTTGACTCGTTGCATCAGTAGCTGCTTTTTCGATATCAGAAAAGGGTCTACGACTTTGGTTTTCTCATCCTCCAAACCCTTCTTTTTTCTTCTTGCCATACTTGCTTTATTCACTAAATTTGGCTTAGATCAAAACATCCACATGCAGTGATAATGTCCATATGTGCTGTTGCATGACTGAAGTTGATCAGTTGACCCCAATTATACAACATTACTGAGGCATTTTTAACGAGGAGGGTGTCACAAAGGCCTACTCTAACCAATGAGGAGCTCCTTTGTGTCAGTGTCCCTTACCTTAAAGGCTGACTTTGTCAAAGTTATCCCTTATCAAAGGAGAGGCTAAAGTGTGGTCTTAGAATACCATTTCGTTAGGCCTTCCTTTACCAAGGAAGACCTCATCAAAGGAAGCCTTTATAAAAGTTGACCTTAGCCCTGTTTTAAGGAGCATCTTGGAATACGGGCCATTTACTTTAGCGATAAAGGAAAATTTTCTCAATAAACTAGATGGTAATTTTCAGTGTTTATTTTTCACTTTGAACTTTTTACTTATTTGATATTTATTCATGTTTTGTATTTTGTAATATAAAAGCACTGCATTAATGCATTAAAGAGAATAGTTTGAAGGTATTTGTTCCAAAATCCCTTGAAATTAGATGTTAGTTATCTGTTGCAGGGAAGGTAGTAACTGCTTAATCATTAGCAACGTCCTGTCCTGGTATTGAGCAGTAAACATCATGTCCTTGAACAAGTTGTTATCAGAGAGTCAGGGTGAATATAGAGTAACTTGAAACACGATGTCAGCGCCGGGGTTTATAAACTGATTCATTTTTGCTATCTCCTGTAACAAGTGCCTGGTGACACGGCGTACAGCTCAGGTGACTCCGACTATCAGGACGAGTGAGGTGTGTTGTCACGTATGCCAAAGTGTACAGTTAGTGCAGGTTGAACCATCTAAAATACATGTTGAAAATAAGAATATAAACTAAATCCTTGGAAATGTAATTAAACNATCCCTGGAAATGTAATTAAACCTATTAATAATTGGATATCATACATGAGTGCAAGTATAATTTTCACAGTTTTATGGAGATGATTTATTTTCAGTATTATTATGAGAATGAGGAAATATAAAATCGGGATATTCCTTGAATTAAATCTTTCGAAGATTGAACTGCGTGGCTTCTGAACATTTTTCGCGAAACGGGAGGCTGAATTTAGCGCAAATCCATGACTGATTGAACACCGATATAAAAAGGGGAAAACTGTATAAACATACAGGATGTCGGGGTTGGGGGCTTGTCTGAATAGCAGATCGACCTGTAAAACAAAAAAAATCAAATTTGGCACTTACTTTTATATCAAATATTGTCTCCTGTCATGTTTACGGGGTATAAATTACAGACACGTAAATACCTGATTAAATCAGGTGATTCTGTAACAGTCCATGGGTCCAAGGAGGGTGGCGATAGGATAATACGGAAAATGAGAAGCTATGAAACTGCAACTAAATCTAAAAGTGATAGCTAGTTTTAAAAGTTGTTAGTCATACGATCATGATAAATTTATCATTCAAAAAAATTAATTAAATAATAAAAAATAAATAATAATAATAATAATCAAACGCACAATTTTGTTGATAAATGTTCATTGGCTGATTACAACCGAAGTTATTTAGAACTGACTAAAATTTTGACATAATTTGTTCAGCAACGAGTTGAATGAGTAATTAAAAAATGAGTAATTAAATGTCAATTAAATGCAGTTTAGGCCGGTCTGAAGAAAATGTAAGACTGGGTTCCGATTCCTAGATCGATCTAACAGGATCGGTCTATCTCCAAGGTGTTTCTCGCTAAATTGCTATCAGCTTAAGCAGCTTAGATGTCTGGCACGCCTACTAAAGCTGTTAAACGATAGTTGAATACCCCTTATTAGCTTCAGTAGGCGGGACAGACATCTAAGCCGCTTAAGTAAACTGCAATTTAGCGAGACTCCCCTAGGGGATAGATCAATCCAAAGTTTGTACGATGGGAGTGGTCTCTAATTGATGGTGATTTAATAAGCTACCCCCGCAACCCTCACCGTCTCTGGCACACGATTTCGTCACCGTGTAAAATGACGTAGTTTGTTCTTTCTTGTATAAAACCCAGACGCAGTGTTACCCAGTCCAGTCAAAGACAGATATGGCCACGAGAACGCGACATCATGAAGTGACGAGACTTATTGTACAGTAATTTGGCCGTGTGTAAACCTAATTGAACTTAGAGTCATGGCATCAAAGAAGTTCTACGAAGGCTTCAGTGACAATTTTCTAACGTGTCACATCTGTCTTCACGAGTATGACGACCCGCGTGTCCTCCCATGCTATCATTCTTTCTGCCTGGCTTGCCTTGCCCAACACGTGGCAGCGAGTGGGACAGGACACAACATCACGTGTCCAGTGTGCCGCCATGAGGCGCCTGTTCCACCAGGTGGACTGGAGAAACTTGTTCGTAACTTCTTTTTGTTAAAGGCGAAGGACTTCATGTTGACAACAGAGAGTAAAGACAAAATGTGCGGGAACTGTCAATCACAACTTGCCCAATTTTACTGTCAGGATTGCAAACACTTTTTTTGTGAGAACTGTCGACAAAAACAGCATGACGCCATAAAATTTCTACAAGGACACACGATGGTTGCAGTGTCTGAACTTGGTAATGAAGCCCAGGAAGAAAAGGACGTAACACCATTTTGCGATAAGCATGAAGAAGAACGGTTGAAATTTTATTGCACAGATGACGAAGTTGTTGTATGTCGTGACTGTATTCTCCCCAAACACAACAAACACAATTGTGTAGACGTTGCAGATGTTGCAAAAGCGCATAAAGAGAAAATTAAAAGTGGCTTTAATGATCTATCTAAGAAAATTTCACTGTTAGAAATTGCAGAGTTAAAAGTATCTAAACAACAAAAGGATGCAAGTGATGACAATGACAAATCTTTGGCCGACATACAGCAACAAGAGACGGATATTATAAAAGAGGTTCGACGAATTAGTGGACAGTTGACATCAGAAGCAAAAGCTCACGCCGCAGCTTACATGAAATCCCTCAAAGATGAGAAAGATAACCTTGAACTACAGAAAGTATCCATTCACGGCACTTGTGAGTTTGCCAAACAGCTCGTCCAATATGGCTCCCACACAGAGGTGATGATTCACGCTAAAAATATCCAAGCAAGGATAAAAGAACTGAATAATGTTGAACCTCCCGTACCTGCAGAGACAACGGGCATAACTTTTATTAAAGAAAAACTTCCACGGGACCTTTTTGGTCGTTTGAAAAAGTACAAATGGCTAAATACTGCATCTTTGGTGGGTGAGTTTGATTCAACGTGGAGCATATTTGGGTATTTATGGGACAGTGAGGACAGTTTACAGGACATTTCGTGCAGCCAAAGTGGGACAATATATCTATGTATAAGCAATCTTGGTAAAACTCGCATGGTTAAACTTAAGGCAATATCAAAATTTCATAAGGTGATATTTCAGGTCAACGTACCAGACCCCAGGGGCGTCACCGTGCTCAGTGATGACAGACTGGTGGTTACATGTGATGATGGATGCCGAGTGTATTCTTCCCCCGGGAAACATGTCCAAACATTTGGTCAGGGTGACAAGTCTAACCCCCAGGGTGTTACAGTGGACAACAATGGACACATACTTGTCTGTGACAAGAACAATAAATGTATCTGTGTGTATGACGCTGTGCAGTACAATCTTATTAATAAGATCGGTGTTCCTATGTGTGAAGATCCACGATACATTGCAGTGCTCCCATGTCGTGACACCATTGTGGTGAGTGACTATGCTGGACACTGTGTATATGGAGTGACCCCACAGAGCGATGTAGTGTTCAAGTATGGTACATCAGGGAAGAGTGGTTTAGGTGATGGATACCTGGACCAGCCCACGGGGGTATGTACAGACAGCTTGGGGCACATCTTCATTGCTGACCCAGGGAATAATAGGGTGGTTGTTCTGACCTCAGATGGCCAATTGTTGAGATGCATCGTGGGTCGAGAACAGGTTTCAAAACCACGGTGTGTCACCACCGATAACAAAGGACAGCTTGTAGTGGGCGAGCTGAAAGGCCAGGTGAAAACATTTAGCTATGTTCATTGACTGCAGTAGAAGTGTATGACAGACGTTACCAGGCGACAACATAGAAAATGAACAATTGAAGGGGCACTTCGTGAAAGTAAATATTTTAAACATTTGGAACCACAAAGAAAAGTTGTTTTATTCTAACAGATGGGAAGAAAATCAATTATTGAAAGAAAAATGTAGTTGGAAAAACTTGTCATACGGGGGAGCTGAAATTCGTTACGTGGTCTTAAATTCAATGTTTTATCCTATTCATGTCGTAGTTCATACGTGACAAAACGAATGGAAATTTACTTATTTTGTTCCGACCTCTTTTAGCACATTTATTGTCAGGTTTAATATTTGAATATTCTAGTTTCATGTCTATATTTCAGCAATGATTCTGCTTTGGATGTTTATTTGAAAGGAATATGATTTACACAGTGTTATTCCTCCATCATGTTAAGTGTAGTATCTCCTGCACGTTTTTCTTGTATTAATTCTTACAAATAAATAAAATTCATTTCCCGACAATTTCGTTTCGACGACTTTCCAGAAGTCTACAGAAAGTATCAGCGGTCAAAAGCAGCAAAACAGAATCGGCATCCTTTACCTTTAGTATTTAGATTTTTAAAACTATTATTGTTGAGCTTGTATATTTTACTCTGTTGCGCACGCATGCGTTAATGTTACAGTTAATGTTATATAGATGGATGTTTCATTCTACTGTTCGGTTCTTTTGACATCATCTAGTGCTGTGATTATATCTCTTTATATAGAAAAAATATAATTTAAATTCCAGCGCCTAGTTATGATAATGAGAGGAGATGGACCATGATGTCAGGAACATTCCACCTGCCCTCAAAATATAAAGATTACGACTGACTTATGGGAAATTCTCCTCAGTTTCAGATAAAAAGGGAGAGTTCTTTTGCACCTTATGTTATATTCTACCGGTACCCGAAACGCGTTTGTTTTTCGGACGTCCGATTTTCAGTATTTTCTTTGAATTTTCTGACTAACATACATTTGTCTGAAGCCATGCACTGCTTGAACTTAATTCCTAATAATGCAGCAAAGGTCATGAATGTCGTGGACCAATTTCTTTTTTTTTTTTATCACAATATTCACGTTCACGTCATTTGGCAATGTACTCAATCGTGTTTTTGACAATCCCAACTCGTTGTATTAACAAATGCGCTTAACAAAAATAATTTAATAGAAATAACCACAAAAAATGGTCAAATGGATTACTCATGTATTTTACATCGGTCTAAAGCCTAGGTCCCAACTGCGTTTTGGACGCACGGTTTTTAGGTTCCTTGCGTCCAGCTAGGACGTAGCTAGATCGCACGTAGCGGCTGTTGATCATGTCGAAAAGTTAAGCCTAGGTCCCAACTACGTTTTGGACGCACGGTTTTTTGAATCCTTGCGTCCGGCTAGGACGTACCTAGATCGCACGTAGCGGCTNCCGCTTATCTGATTATCTGCCCGACTGCACACAATCATTGTTTATCTATATGTGGCACGCTTTCATCGTATTCGTCCTTCAGTTAGTATTTAAAGCCTAGGTCCCAAATACGTTTTCCACGCACGGTATTTTAGGTTCCTTGCGTCCGGCTAGGACGTAGCTAGATCGCACGTAGCGGCTGTTGATCATGTCGAAAAGTTAAGCCTAGGTCCCAACTACGTTTTGGACGCACGTTTTTTTTTTTTTTTTTTTTTTTTTTTTTTTATCCTTGCGTCCGGCTAGGACGTACCTAGATCGCACGTAGCGGCTGTTGAAAAGTTTCTATGTGCTGTTTGCGTCCTCCAAAAGTCGCACGATGGACGTGCTCCTCTCGCACGAACTCCCACGTTTTCCCCATTTTTTGGCCGTAGACCACACGTAGCAGCCCGTGCGTTCGGTTGGGGCCTAGGCTTTACTTGATTTCTTCCCTGCGATCTAGCTACGTCGTAGACGGACGCAAGGAACCTAAAAACCGTGCGTCCAAAACGTAGTTGGGACCTAGGCTTAACATGCATGAACCCATTAATGCTGGACATCCAAACCCAATAGAGAGGTGCATTTCACATGCTGAAGTGTCAAAAAATAAAAATGAATGAATTCAAAGTTGTATTCAATATTGCAAAACATATATGTGTACAGAACAAAAATCCACAAATAACTGTGCAGTAAATATTTTTAAGAACATGCTTGTGACATCAATTGCACCTCTATATTGGGTTTGGGTATGAAAGGTATTTCGTACGGCTGCTCGACTAACAAAACTATCGATATGTCAAAAAATAGGAATGACTTTGATGTCCTAGAACCAATGAAGATATTTATGACAGAATCTTGCATGTTTGTTAGACTCTTCAAGGTGTTTTCTTCCCAGATATCGGCGTATTGGTTTTCATCAGAATCTCCTTTAATGTTGGTAAAATGGTTTATTTTGAAGTGTTTACTTCCTATAACATAAAACCTGGGTTCATTGTACACATCGAAATACGAATCGCAACTTGGCATTGTGTTTTTACATCTAAATGTATATTGATGTTTTTTTATAATTACAAAAGCATTGATTTTATTATGGAGAAGTCCTGGGTGGTTGATTTACACCTGGTAGGGTTGTCCAGGGTGAACGACAGACGCCATCATCAATTTATGCACATCCGACATAAGACTGCAACTTTAACATGACGCATCGTGGATCTGCACAAAACTGTTGATTAATCTTCAAAAAAGGAAGAATTGTTGACGTTTGGTGTAATTTTCTTCATAATTTGATGCTCGATAGAATTTCACCAAAGTACCAAATCGATTTGGACACGGCGTTTGCAAATATTCTATTGGAGTGATCAACTTAATATAAGGGCATTTGAAACCAAATCGTTTGCAATCTTAGAAGTTTTGGGTCTCGGAATCTAATCATAACAAGGCACATAGCCAAGAAATCACGTGGGTTTTGATGTACATTGCTTTCCAATTTTACCGTTTATAACCCCTTACAAAATTAAAGAAGTACGCCGATCAGGTGATGAGCTATATCATATGGCAATAGCAACTCAACAGTTCAAGAAGTAACTGCCTATTTTACAGATATAAGGAGAAATCTTAGCACCGAAACCGATTCCAACGGTCTTTTGCGACAGTGATGACATCCAAATCCAGTAATCAAGCCCAGGAAGATAAGGACTTAACACCATTTTGCGATAAGCATAAAGAGGAACGATTGAAATTTTATTGCACAGATGACCATGTTGCTGTGTGTCGTGACTGTATTCTCACCAAACACAACAAACACAATTGTGTAGACATTGCAGATGAAGCAGAAACGCATCGAGAGAAAATAAAATGCGCATTTAATAATTTATCAAAGAATATTTCACTGTTTGAAAATGCAGAGTCGGAAGTATCTAAGCAACTGGAAGATACAAATGAGGACGTAAACAAAACAGTGACTGTCATAGAACAACAAGAGTCAGATATCATAGAAGAGGTTAAGCGTACCTCTGCTCAGTTAATAGCAGAAGCAAAAGACCACGCTGCAGCACAAATAAAGTCACTCGAGGCTGAAAAAGATCGCGTTCAACAACAGAAGGAATCCATTCACAGCATATGTGAGGATGCCAAAAAGCTTGTCCAACATTGCTCCCACGTGGATGTGATAAAATGCAGTAAAAATATTCAAGCAAAGATGAAAGAATTCAAAAATGCTAAACCCACCGTACAGGCAAAAACAACAGAGATCACTTTTTGTAAAGAAAAACTTCCAGCAGACTTCTTTGGTCGCGTGAAGAAGTTAGAATGGCTAAAAACTGCATCTCTGGTGCGTGAGTTTCACAGCAGTATGAATAATTTGTTCGACTTATCGTGCAGCCAAAGTGGGGCAGTTTATGTAGTTTGTGACACTTCGAAAAAACTACAGGCAATATCACCATTTCATGAGGTGAAATTTGAGGTACATGTACCAGATCCCAGAGGTGTCACCGTGCTCAGTGATGACAGACTGGTGGTTACATGTGATGATGGATGCCGAGTGTATTCCTCCTCCGGGAAACATGTCAAAACATTTGGTCAGGGTGACATGTCTACGCCCCAAGGTGTTACAGTGGACAACAATGGACACATACTTGTCTGTGACCAAAACAATAAATGTATCTGTGTGTATGACGCTGTGGAGTACAGTTTTATCGATAAGATCAGTGTTCCTATGTGTAAATATCCACATTACATTACAGTGCTCCCATGTGACACCATTGTGGTGAGTGACTGGAGTGGGCACTGTGTATATGGAGTGACCCCTCAAAGTGATGTAATGTTCCAGTATGGTACACCAGGTGAGAAAGGCTTAGGTGATGGATACCTGAAGAACCCCTGGGGAGTGTGTACAGACAGCGTGGGGCACATCTTCATTGCTGACCTGGGAAATAACAGGGTGGTTGTTCTGAACTCAGATGGTCAACTGTTGAGATACGTGGTGGGTCGAGAACAGGTTTCTATACCACAGGGTGTTACCATTGATAACAAAGGGCAGCTTGTAGTGGGGGAGTTGAAAGGAAAGTTAAAAACATTTCGCTTTGTTCAATGACTACAATAGAAGTAGTACAACAGACGTTACCAGGCGACAACACGAAAAGTGAACAATTGCAGAAGCACTTCGTGAAAATAAATAATTTAAATATTTGGAACCACGAAGAAAAGTTGTTTTATTATAACAGATTGAAAGAAAATTAATTATTGAAAGAAAATGGAGTTGGCAAAACTTATCATGCGGGGGAGCTGAAATTCATCACGTGGACTTAAATGCAACGTTTTATCCCGTTTAATGTCGTGGTTCTTATGGGGCAAAACAAATGGAAATTATCTTACTTTCTTTCTCCTCTCTCAGCACATTTATTGTCAGGTTTATTATTTGATTATGCTAGTAATGTCCATATTTGAGCATTGACTTTGCTTTGGATGTTTAATTGAAAGAAACATGTTTTACGCGTGAATCCTCCTTCATTATGTTAAATGTACCATCTCCTGCACGTTTTCTTGTATTAATTCTTACAAATAAATAATTTCATTTCCGATCAATTTCGTTTCGACATGCCTTTCTCTTCAGAAGTCTACAGAAAGTATGAGCGGCCAAAAGCAGCAAAACAGAATCGGCATCCTTTACCTTTAGTACTTAGTTTTTTTTAAACAACTATTATGGTTGAGCTTGCATATTTTACACTGTCACACACGCATGCGTTTAAGTTACAGTGTTATATAGATGGATGTTTCATTCTAATGATCAGTTCTTTGACATCAACTAGTGTAGTGATTATATCTATTTATATAGACAAAATAGAATTTTAATTCCAGTGCCTAGTCTTGATAATGAGGGGGGTTGCACGATGAGGTCTGGAACATTCCACCTGCACACAAAATATAAAGATTACCACTGACTTATGGAAAATTTTCCTCAGTTTCAGAGAAAAAGGGAGAGTTCTTTAGCACGTTAAACCCTACCGGTACTCGTTTGAAACGTGTTTGTTGTTCGGACGTTCGATTTTCAGTATTTTCTTTGAATTTTCTGACTAACATACATTTGTCTGAAGCCATGCACAATTTGTACAAAATTCCTAATAATGCATCAAAGGTCATAAATTTCGTGGACCAATTTCTATTTTTCACAATTTTCACTTTCACGCCATTTAGTAATGTAATCAATCGTGTGTTTGACAATTCCAACTCGCTGTAATAGCAAATGCGCTTAACAAAAATAATTTAATAGGAATAGCCACAACAAATAGTCAAATAGATTATTCATTTATGTTTAGATGGATACATGAACGTGAATGAACCTATTATTGCTGAAATGTATTTTGAACACTTGCTTGACTAACATAAGCTACAGCTATTGATGTAAAAAAATCGGAATGACTTTGATGTCCTAGACCCAATGAAGATATTTATGACATCTGGAACATTTGTAAGACTCTCCAAGGTATGTTTTCTTCCTAAATATCGGCATATTGGCTTTCATCTGAAAATCCTCTAATGCTGGTAAAATGATTTATTTTCAGTATTGACTTCCTATAACATAAAACCTGGGTTCATTGCACACATCGAATTATTGATCTCAACTTGGCGTTGTGTTTTGTTACATCTATATTGATGTTTTTTTTAAATATAATTGCACACATCAAATTATTGATCTTAACGATTCGATCTCAACTTGACATTGTGATGTGTTACATCTATATTGATGTTTTTTATAATTACAAAAGCATTGATTTTACTATGGAGAAGTCCTGGGTAGTTGATTTACACCTGGTAGGGTTCTCCAGGGTGAACGACAGACGCGATCATCAATTTATGCACAACCGACATAAGACAGCAACTTGAACACGGCGCATCGTTAGTCTACACAAAACTGTTGATTAATCTTCAAAAAGGATGAATTGTTGACTTTTGATGTAATTATCTTCATAATATGAGGTGACGTAGAATTTCACCAAAGTACCAAATCGATTTGGACATGAGTTTTTGTGAATATTCTATTGCAGTGTTGACTTTATATAAGGGCATTTGAAACCAACACGTCTGCCATCTTAGAAGTTTTGGGTCATGGAATCTAATCATAACAAGGCACATAGTCAAGGAATCATGTGGGCTTTGATATACATTGCTTTCCAATTTTACCGTTTATAACCCCTAAGAAAATTAAAGAAGTCAGTCAATCAGGTAATGTGCTATATCATATGTCAATAGCAACTCAACAGCTCAAGAAGTAACAGTCTACCATACAGACACAAGGAGATATCTTAGCACCGAAACTGATTCGGTCTTTTACGACAGTGATGGCATTCAAAAAGTTCCACGAAGTCTCCAATGACAATTTTCTAACGTGTCACATCTGTCATCAGGAGTATGAAGACCCGCGTGTCCTCCCATGCTATCACACTTTCTGCCTGGCTTGTCTTGATCAGCAAGTGGCAGCGAGTGGGACAGGACGCAACATCACGTGTCCAGTGTGCCGCCAGGAGGCGCCTGTTCCACCAGGTGGCCTGGAGAAACTGCTCCGTATCTTCTTTTTGTCCAAGGTGAAGGACTTTATGTTGACAGCAGAAAGTAAAGACAAATTGTGTGGGAACTGTCACTCACAAGTGGTCCGATATATACCGGTTAATTCAGGATCCTTAGGTGCCGAGTCTGGTAGTTGGGTAGGCCTGACCATGTTACTTAGGGTTGCCAAACTTTCAAAAAAGAAATACAGGACTAAAATGCAGCCTGAATTGGAAAAGCAGTCTAATTGGCTTCTTTTTCTGGAAGTTATACATTTTCAAAGTGTGAACTTGAACTCCCCATGGGCCTGAAGCCTTATGCTTGTTACACATTTTACTCACATTGGTATTACCTGTTGAGCATAATTAAAATTTGATGTTGAGTTTGCAGTTTAATATAATGTACTTTTGCATCAGAATTGACAGTAGCCTATTTTGTGCATAGTTATTGCCTGCTTTTTGTCTGTACATTTGACAGCTTTGCTGCCTTGTTTTTATAATACAATAGAAAGATACAAAGAATGGTTATAGTGCAATATCTTTGTAGAAAATGAAGTGGTTTCATTGTTTTTAATTCTTTTATGTTTCCTTTCACTTCCTGTATAGCTACTTTTACTTTCACTTTCAGTATATCTACTTTCACTTTCAGTACATATGCTTTCACTTTCATTTTTAGTATTTCTACATATACTCCATCAGATGAGGACCAGTATGAAATCTTGGGAGGCTCCGGAGACAACAAAGTCTCCTGGAAGAGTCTAAACTTGGTCTACATATTTGAAGTAATAGTGCTCAGCAAGGACCACAGGTAGTGTCACTTATTGTTACTTGTATATTAATTACCTATTTCACTCTTTGATTTATCATGAAATGTTTAAGTATTTTCAGCTAGGGGGTAAAGATAAATTTAGTGACAAAAATATTTTGAAAAAATCAACTTTGCACTTTTTTAACTGTTTTTTATTTGCACAACAAATGATATGCTATATAACTGTATTTTTACTTACAAATGTGTTCATTTTATTTCTGCAAGTTATCTTTTATCTTACCCACAGTTTTTGCGACCTGCGGACCAAATTTGCTGTGCAAGTGTGGGGAGCTCCTCCAAAATCCTCAATCCCCGTCTTTTTGGTAACTGGGATAATATCCGCCATATTGACTGCAATCGTGTACTGTATGTACACCACAACAAGAGTGAAGAAAAAGCAAGAGGAGGACTTGAGTATTTTGCAGAGATTGGAATTTAAAAGGTAGGAAGAGTAAATTAAGAAGGTCCCATTCCCATAGGCACCACTAGTCTACATGGATCGGCCCAACTCTGTGGGGACTCTTGCTTAGTGCAATTGGCATAAATGAACTAATATGGTCCACATAGACTGATGGTGTTTAGGGGAATGGGGTCTTAGTTAACCCGAATCGAGAATTATTCCAATTTTTTGTTATTGTGGATTTTATAACAAATAGATTCAAATTGTAATTGACACATAGAAATTTCCCCAAACAAAGTGTATTCCCCATTTTCTTTTTACACTTCCTAAGACAAAATTCTCACTGCATCTCACATTTCAATTGTTTTGAATATTTCATATGCAGATCACCTTTCGTATGTTGATTATTTGTAAGATACCTTATTCATTTTTATATTTATCTATTTATTTATTTTGTAACATTTAGGTCCAGAGCTCCTCTCCGCAAGAGCAAAATAATCCAAATAAGTCAGAATCATGAGATGAGCTGTGACACTGGAGCCAAGTTTAAACCCATCAATGACGAATGTGTGTCTGGCCCCAGCAGCAATAGCCCATTTTTATCAGTACCAAAGACTGAGTGAAAGTAAAGGGGAAAAGAAGAGACTACGAAATTTGGAAAATATGACTTTTATATTACTAAAATTTTAGAATGTGTTAGTAGTAATTTTAGGTGAAATGCTTTATAACTTTCAATTTTAAAATTTTTTAATTTGAAAATAGGTACTGTACATTCATAAAGCTTGTACTTATATAAGTTTCTACTTATTATTATTATTATTATTATTATTATTATTATTATTATTAAATTTCTAGATTCATATACTGGCTCATATTGCATTTAGTGATTTAAACCACATCTTTTCTATCAGATTCTAAGAATTAGCCAGGGGTTGGTATGTAAGTCTGTTGACATGGTACAGCTTTCATTATGTTCTTTTGCACAGGATGAGACATTCGCAGCAGGAACAAATGCTTTTAATCTCCATAGCCTTTATGGCCAGAGCAAGTTTTGTACAGTCCTCACTGTCGGTGGCCAGGTTGTATTCTATTAAAATAAATAACAAATGAGTTTCCATATGTGTACATTTTCTGTATTGCACACAAATAACTACTGTGTTTAACATGCATTTTATATTGCAGGCATTAACTGAACACCACCTCCTATGGCTAATGGCAGCCATTTCGTTTTTTGTTTTGTTTTCAAAATGAATCCGGCTATCAGGTGATGTATATAAGAGTGAGGTATGTTAATTCTCATGTACGCCCAAGTGTACAGTTAGTGCAGGTTTAAATAAATCATCTAAAATACATGTTGAAATTAAGAATATAAACT